GAGGAACTGTCATTTTCTTTTGCATAGAGGCTGTATCATTTTATACTCACTTCCTTCTTAACACTTGTTTTCTTTGTTTCTTTGCCTCTCTCTCTCTCTCTCTGTACTGAGGATTGAACCCAAGGCCTTTGCACTAAGGGTTTCAGTAACTCACTAAGTTGCCCAGGCTGGTTTCACTCAAGTCTGTGATCGTCCTGCCTCAGCCTCCCCAGCACTGAGATTACAGTGTGTGCCACTATGCCCAGCATCTTTTTTTCTGTTTGCGCTGGAGATGGAGCCCAGGTCTTATAACTGCTGAGCCCATGTCCTGCCCACGAGGGTTCTGATTTGCGTTTCCTTAATCATCGGTGATGGTCTTTTCCTTCCATCCTGCAGGCGATCTTCCCTTCTGTTGGTGGTGTCCTTTGAAGTACAATGGATGCTTGTTTTATGGGTAGGGTATAATCTGGGTACTGCTTGATTCATTTTTCTTGTTCAAACTCTTCCAGCTTTGGCCATTGGGAGCTCTTTCAGGGGGTTGGATTTACTTTATTATTAATGTTAGCTTATTTTGAGATAGGGTCTCATGATGTAGCCCAGGCTGGCCTTGAACTCATAGTGATTCTCCTGCCTCAGCCTCACGAGTGCTGGGATCACAGATGTGCCACCATGCCCAGCTTTGATTTACTCTTTTCTTTTTTCCTTTCCTTTTTTTTTTTTTTTTTGGTGTTGGGAATCAAACTCAGGACCTTGCACTTGCAGACAGGTGCTGTGCCAGGTGCCCTGATTTACTTTTATTGTGTGATTTCTATTTTCCTTTTGTGCTGTTCCTCTTTGGCTTTCCCTTACTGCCTGTGTTCTATTAGATTCATCACATTTTCTTTACTGTTTTTGTTTCCTTCACAGATGTGGCAATTATACAACTTTGTTTGTTTGAGACAGGGTCTCACTATGTAATCCAGGCTGGCCTCAAACTGGCAGTTGATCCTCCTGCCTCAGCCTCTCCAGTGCTGGGATTATGGGCATGTGCCACCACACCTGGCACAATTTCCTTCTTTTAGTGTTTACCTTAAAATGTCCATGGTCTTTTTTTTTTTTTTTTTGGTTTTTCTCCAGTACCGGGAACCGAACCCACGACCTTGCGCTTGCCAGGCAGGCGCTTATGTCCATGGTCTTGATAGAGGCTCGGGGGAGACAGGTGGCCACAAGAGGCTGCTGGGGATGCAGAACCCCCATCTGTGGTGTCCTGCTGCAGCTGCCAGGTGCTACTTAGACTGTGTTGGGCCCAGCTGAACCTCAGCCATCAGTGAGGCGTCTGGCGCTGGGAGGTGGCCTTGCATGGGGCCTTTGAGGTGGGATGTGTGTCAGCCCTTCTGGGAGAGGACAGCACACCTGGAGATGCAGGGGTTCAAAGGGGGCTGGGCTGACACTGAGTTCACCCACCCGCATCTCCTGCGGCCCTGGCTTCAGCTTTCTCTCAGTGTGGATGGACAGCGGGAAAGATGTGTGGATCTGAGAGCCCCTGGATGCGCACAGCTGGCTCACACCTGGGCACGTGGCTGGGTTACACCAGGGCTCACGCCTGGCTCACACCTAGGCTTGCATTCCCATGATCCCCCACCTTTGTCATTTGTCATGGTGCTTGGCGGCAGCCACTGAGCCTGTCCCCACTTCCCTTCCAGCTCACCAGTAGTGACAGATGCCAGAAGCCCAGGGGTGCCTCGCTGTGGAAGGGCATCGAGGGGTGAATCCCTGACACCCCATCTTGTCACAGCTTGGGCCCCCAGAAGCCAACTGAAGTGGCGTTTGGGACAGGAGCTGCGCAGGGCTCACCCTGTGACAGGAAGCGAGTGTCCTGGTAGAAAGCTCTGCCATCAGTTATAGCCAGGGTAACCCTGAGTGTACTGGTGCCGGAAGTAAGCCAGACTCCAAAGGAGAAATTGCCAGAAGGCTGGAGACAGGAAGTGAAAAGTGGGTGTCCGGGCGGAGACGGTGAAGGGAGGGGGCCTTGTGGGCGGCCTTGGGATCCCAGCTTTGAGGGTGAGTTGTGAGGCCACCAGTCTGTGAGGATCATCGGTGACATGGACACAGGCCAGGGCCCGGTGCACGGCTGCAAACGCTGTGGGCCCAGCTGTCCGGGGCCACAGGGACACACTGGTTTCCGCAGGTTTGGGTCTGGGTGCCTTGGGGAAGGTGTTGGGTGTGGGCAGCTCTCTACCTTGCACCCGAGCTCACTGGGCTCCTGGTCCTTGTCACCACAGATCTTTGGCCTCAGCAGCTGCCCTGGGCCTGTGTGGGGACATCCTAGGGCTTGGATTTTCTGGTAGCAGCAGGTACAGAGCACCCCACCTGTTCAGATCCATCAGGCAGGGAGGGGGAGGGGCTGGGTTGCATGTTTGAGACCCCAGGGCCATGGGGCAGGTGACGAGGCAGGGGCTATCCATGGTTGTGCCTTGGCGAGACCCCTTGGCCCATGACGGCTCAGATCTGTAACCACAAACAACTGCTCTTCTCCTCCTTGTCCTCCACTTCTTTTTTTCAGTATAGGGTCTTCACATTGAATTAAATCCCATCCTCTTTGTTATTATTTTTTATTTTGAGACAGGGTCTTGCTAAGTTGCCTAGGCTGGGCTTGAACTTGTGATTCTCCTGCCTCAGCCTCCCAGAGTCCTAGGATTACAGGTATGACCACCATGCCTGGCTTGTAACTGCAAGCTTCTGAGCGCTGTGGCCGGTCCAGCAGCTCTTATGCCCACTGCCTGGGTGGGGGTAGTGAGGACTTGGGCCGCCGGGATAAGGTGTCACTGCCTGGTGGTTAGTTAGACCTGGTGTCGTCTGAGGAGGCAGCCCATGCATGCCCGTGGGCTCAGGGGGCTGTGCACCTTGGGGGCCTCATTCTGGCCAGCCCAGGCGTACACTCCTGAGGGAGCTGGCTCTGCTGTTCTGAGTCGCGGG